ATGATCTCAAAATGTTGAGATTTCACAAGAATTAAATCGATTTAATCACTGTTATCAAAACAAAGCAGGACACTGATAAGTGCCTAGACAAGCTCACATTTGGATCCATTGAAAATATATTACTTATAAACATATTGTGAAAGTTGAGTATTCACTGATTTTGAAATAACTAGAATGGTTTTGTATGCAAGATACAACCTGGTTTTGGTGAATGTTTATCAATGATAATGAAGATGGCTTGTTTTCAGATCTACACTATCAGTATTGTAAATAATCATGATATAATAGAAATAAAATATTGTTTAAACCAAATTTGACACTTCAAGGAAGAGTTGATTAAAACTGCCGCGTGCTGGTTTATCTATCCATGTTTGCTTACCTATCGGTACTGTTTAGCGTATCTTTGCTTTAGTGTGTTACATTTAGTTTGATCATCGTTAACCGACAACACTGGAAGAATTGGCCGTGGCACTGCAAGAGGAGTGGGTCAGATTGCCCCAAATCGTGATTGGACGGTTGATTAGGAGCATGCCACGACGAATTGCTGAATGTCTGAGGATTGGTGGTGCAATTACTCACTATTAAGACAAAAATCAAAAACCTCCATTTTCACTTTTGACGGTGTGTATCTCTTTGCGAGTGAAATGGGGCCGTCAGATAAGCCGCCCATATGAACTGTTTTTGTTCATGTGTAGGCAATTGGCCTGTTATTAACATACACTGGTTACCTCTAATAAAAACAGCAGTGCATTTCCGCAGTTTTGTATTGTTTCTGAATATCCCCTACTTTTTTTGAAGAGTATATATGTATATGCTTAGAATTATACTTGTCGTTCACTTTTCCAGCATATTGGCCACGGTAATATGATACAAATGGCGAACTATTTTCTCGCTCAAGAATTGTCGCTATTCAACCCGTTCTTACATTTCCGACCAGTGATGATAATATAATTTAATATAATAATATTTTACATGCCGTATGAAGCCACAGTAAACGGAATTCAGCTATCAAAATATTTCATTCTCTTCGGCCATTTTTGTTAAAGACGAAACGAAACATCAAATAATCACCGCTTGGATTAATCATTAGGAGTAAATAATGACTTGTGTCTTGAGATAGACTTTATATATATCATTGGCAATTATCAATTGATTATATTTACTCATTGACGCGATCCGAATTATCAGCCAGTTGATTAATTTATAGAATGTGCCGCCACGTGATTGACACTCAATGTAATTGTAATGGATAATCCAGGATAAATACGATTAGAATTTTAAGATTTTTTTCCGCCAGTTCTCAAAAGAAATCGCCAGAACCGCAAAAAGTTATCGCCAAAATCAAATTTTAATCGCCACATTCATATTTTTATCGCAAATTGCAACTTTGGCGACCGACAGCATGAGCCCTCTCCCATACATATCTTGGGAATGTATCTTTAAATGTTTTAATGGACACAATACAAAAGAACTACATAATAACGCAATAGTCGTAAGAACCTGTGGGACACCACAAAAAATATTGGTTTTCAAGTAATTAAATAGCATTGTATTTGTAATATAGAAGACATTTCCACTCATTCTGTTCGCTGTAACTTTTACAGTTAATAAGATAGGTTTGTCCCATGGCAGCTTTGATTATCAGTCATCTTTTCTGTTTCCATTTTAAAATTGGTGTTTATTGATAAACTATTAGACATCGTCTTTTACGATCTTTTATTCTGTGGTATCTTCACTGATTTTGTGTCTGGCATTCAAATATATAATTCAATACTTTATATTATAGAGCCGGTTGAGGATTAACAACTATGAGTGAAAAGTCCTTGTGGGATTGATGGATAAGTCAGGGGACCATAGAACTGATAGACATGGATGAAAATAAATCTCAAAAAACTGATCCGAGATGCGTTGACCATGTTTCGGTGACAGGGGCAGTTAAGTCTTCAAGAACTGAAAGACATGGATGTCAAAAAATTACTCCCATATAACATATGATCATATAAAAACTGAAAATATTGAATCCCATAAAAAATAATGAATGTAATAAAACTGGTTAGATTCTTGTTTATGCTATATTTTATTACTATTTGCGTTTGGCTGACAACAAGAAATTTGTGAGCTTGATTTGAGCAAAGAAGAAGTTAATGGCTCCTGGTTGTCTCCTTGTTAGTCCTTGTCTACGTCATCCTTACATGTATAAATGAAGACAAACTCATTTTACAAAACTGTTCATAGAATAAACCTCCAAGTAAGACTAGAATGTAGCAGGATGTTAAAGAATAAATAGAGGATATTTGTCCTTTTAGAGTGAATAACATATTTTATTTCATCGAGAAGCAAGAAAACTTATATTTTCACGAATGCGTAGCATGAGTGAAAATATAAATGTTTTCTTGCTTAGAGATGAAATAAAATATGTTATTCCCGACAAAACGACAAATGTTCTATTTATTTTATGATTTTACAATCATTTTAGGTAAAAACAACATGGACTACTTTGCCAGTGGAATAACACTTTTATTTCACTGATAAAATGCGGTATTCCACTACTGATCATAAAATAAAGACTAATATTTCTAAATGCACATGTCATGCAAAAACCTGGTACTGTATATTTACTCAGATGTGTCCATAATTTGGGAAGATGTGTACACAGTTGTGTATCAGTTTATATACATCATGTTGAAGATCGTGAGATGAAGAAGCCTTTTGATTTTCATTGATTTCCGATAATTACTTCCAGAGTTATGGCCCCTGATCACTTTAAAATATCTTGTGGATGCTCTAGATGCCAATGTTAATATCTGATTGACTTTAAATTTATACACAGGTCATGAGACAAAGAAGCCTATTGATTTTCATTACTTACTTCCAGAGTTATGGCCCTTGATCACATTGAAAAATTCTTGTGGACACACTAGAGGCTAATGTTAATATCTGATTGACTTTAAATTTATACACAGGTCATGAGACAAAGAAGCCTATTGATTTCCATTACTTACTTCCAGAGTTATGGCCCTTGATCACATTGATTTCAGATAATTACGGCCGGTGTTATGGCCCTTGGTCACTTTAAAATATCTTGGGAATGTTCTAGAGGCTAAAATTAATATTCATACACAGTGTTTAAGGTCTAAGATGAAGAAACCTATTGATTTTCAACGATTTCTGGTAATTACTGCCAGAGTAATGGTCCTTGATCACTTTGAACATTCTTGTGGATGCTTTAGAGGCTAAAGTGAATATCCGATTAACTTTATATTAATACAGTGTTTTTAAAAGGTCATGTGACGAAGAAGTTTATCAATTTTCAAAAATTTCGGATGATTAGGGTAATTGATATTAAATGTTTTGTATGCTAAATGTTAGAATAGGGCAGAACTTGAAGCCAAATGGGTTGTTATTTATAATCAGATTTTAGTGGGTTGTAAATGTTTTCATTTCTGACAAAAGAAAAAATTTGCGACAACCTTTGTTGACTCCCCGGACAACTTAGCTGCTGTGGGCGTATGTTTTGTTGCCTGGCAACCTATCTTTGCACAAGGAAGAATACCGCATTACATGTCAGTGTAAGGAATGAAAACTAATGTGAAATCTGTTCATATCAACATTTAAATTCTAGACTATCTCTAGCATAATTCCTCTTTAATTTGATTACTTAATTATATGGTCTATATAATAATTAAATTATTGAGTGAATACTACAGGCCTACTATGCAGGTTTATTTCAGAGCAGGGCATGATACCATTTCACATTTTTGTGAAAGTAAACATTATAAGCATAGCTCAAATTTTCTTTTGTAGGCTACTTTGGATAAAATTTCTGTATTTTACTGCAAAATATGTGCCCTGCTATGGTCTATAGTAATGATGGAGTGAATAATAGGCCTAGTGTATTGTCCTGGTTAATCATGTTACAACTAATAGTTCCGTTGTCTGTTAGTAACCACTGTTTTAGTATTCTCTATATATAGTACTATAGATTAAAACTGTGTTATTACTTTACTTCATTTCATTAAGCAGTCTAATGACTTTCATGGGTTCTGACAGAATAAACATAATGATTCCCTACTTTGTGGGAATTCCCCCTGGATATCTCAGTCTCCTAGATTTCCCAGGTGTCTGCTCGGGTGAAACAGGTCATAATTGACCAATAGGAGTGCCAGTAAAATGACCTCTGCTGGCAGTGAAGTGATATTAAGAGATGCTGAAGAGTGTCTACTGAGATAGAATATATTGTCAGTGGAAGCCAGGAGAATATCCATTTAGAATAAATCTTAGACAGCAATACCTAATGATAACCATAATTCCCCACACTGAATAAGTCTAAATGTTGCGTGCTACAGTTAAGATACCGATTTTCTGACTCTCGATTTGGAAAATAAATACTTGACAGAATTGAATTTGATATTAAGTGTAGATGGTAATTATGTAAGAAATGTATCTGTCTACCAAAAATAGAAATTGTAAAGAATAAAATATGACTGATGGCAACCAGAATATATTACATGTAACATTGTAACTAATTGTACACTATCCTATAGACCACTTATTTTCTCAAGATGGTCATTATTACATCTAGCTACATTTATAAACTACATACTATATTTTATCACTTTAATGTTTTTTCTTAAGATGGGTAATGATTTACATTTATAAAGAAGACAATTAAGTGTTTTAAATGAAAACTTTGTAAACACCCTTCTTAAAACAAAGGATTAAATGGAACATCATTGGGAAATCAGTTTAAGATACATTATAACAACTAATAAATAAAATCTTTATTTTCCAGCAAGCAGTTCTCAGCTATTTATGAATATAAAATTCTACTACAGTACCTGAATCTGTATATTTGTGCATTCTAACCAAAATGGATCAATCATGGCCACAGTGTTCATAGTATGCATCTATAGCATGCATTTTTGGATGGATTGGCACTTTACAGATATACATTATTGTTTGTTATTATTTATATACATAAAATCATTTATGTATTTCAGAGAATATTATTGGGCTAATTATGCAACAGGTCTTGGTGCCTCACTACATGAGTTAGGACATACATTTGATTTGGCACACACATCATCAGGAATCATGGCTCGGGGTTTTGATGATCTTCATAAAGTTTTCACAGTACAGAGACTAAAAAGTGGTAGAAATAGTCGTGAAAGTCAACGATACAGTAATTCCAGTATATCTAGGACACCATCTACAGGCAGCATAGAAAGCGTATCTTTAATAAATAGTTTTGAAGGTCAAAGAAGATATAAGGATGTATGTTATGGCAGTCCTTATAAAAAGGTAGGTTTTATAAATTTCAAATTATACAAATTAATTTGTTACATAAACATGTTCATGTACAGGGCAGCAGTTGTATGTGGCTATCTGATTTTCATAAATTACCACCTGTAGCATGTTTTGGAGCTCGCAAGCCACAAAGGCCTGGCTGGACTCTAAATTTTTCATTTCTGCCTCCTCTCTCCCAAAATCTGGAATTCAGGTGGGCACAGAGTGGGATTTCAGTTGCAAAGCCACTTAATTAAGGCTATATTGCTGTACTGATGGGCCGAAATGGCAGAAAAAAATATTTGTGGTCTCATTTCTGCCTAAAAAAGCCTGATAACCCACAAAAAATGAGAACGTTACATTCAAACATTGGATAGTCCAATACCTATTGTGTCTGTTCACACATGTTCATATTCAATGTACAAGGTGAAAAATTCTTAACTGATTTTGATCAAACTTTTAGTCTTTTTACAAAAGCATTTTCAGTGTAATTGCCCTTAAATTACCATACTTCTTTTCTATAGTAAATTCTTGTCAGATTTTGATTAAATTTGAATATTGTATTGTAGTGAATTGTCTTGAGGTTATATAAGTACATGTTCAACTATTTTGAATTTGTTCTCTATTATCCAATGCCTTTGCAAAGCTGAATTCAACCCATGTTTTAGTTTTTCAAATATCAGTATTGATTTCTATTATTTTAATGAATTTTATTCTATTAACGAGATAATATCAAGGTTTGTTTTGAACTGACATTCTACGGTAATGAACACGAAAGGTCTTGGGTGAAAACCTTTAATACAGTAGTCTAGCAGCAGATTTTTATCCGATTTTGATGAAACTTAAGATATAGGTCTATCAGACCATAACTTCATGGATTATGGCCCCTGATTGTACAAAAAATCTAGAGGTCACAATTTTTGTCTAATTTTATTGAAACTTTAAATGTATGTTTATAGCCCAAAGATCTTGGTTCCTTTTGATATCAGACTGTAACTTCCTGCATTATGGCTGATGATTGTATGAAAAATCATGTTTTTTAGCTTGTGGATTCTCTAGAGGTCACAATTTTTATCCAGTTTTAAAAAAAAAACGTTTAAATATATCACCCTTCCACCATAATGGAGGTTGATTTTGAATTTTGGGAAAATCAAAATGAAACTGCTGACAAAATTGTGTCGCTCTTTGTACGCAAATTGTGTAAAAGTATGTAATACCAAGGTTGTGGACCTTCTAGATGTCACAATTTTGATCCGGTTTTGATGAATCGTAAAATATATCTTTATATCCCAAAGATCTCAGTCCCTTTCGATATTTGTGAATCTCAGACAATAACTTTCTGGATTATGGCCCCTTATTGTACGAAAAATCACTTTTTCTTTAGCTTGTTCTCTATCCATCTCTTGCGAAATGTGGGCGTATTGTGCCTGGCAACAAAGAACTGAGAGTAGCACCCACCTTGGCATCCTCCTGCATTCACAGCTCATAACTTTGTACCATTATTCAAGGTTTTCTCTCACCCTTTTTAAGCCCCCCCCCCCCCCAACAAAACAATAACTTTCTTTCATGACATAGTTGAACAGGCAACTGCCACCAAATATAATCATGCAATTGTAGGCTAGCAGACGTCACATGTCATGGATATTTTTAAGGGAGATAACTCTGCTTGGTCTATGATTTGACTTGATATTCTAGTCTTGATATCTACTATATTTTGGTTAGGCCAGCTCAATTTTTTGTCATGGTGCTAATCCCAACCCTAACTCTGGACCTAGCCCCAGTGCTTACCCTAACCTTAACCTACAATCTCGGCAACAATCATGTCCCGTAACCTTATTTACATCTCAACGACCATGACAAAAATTGAGCTGTTTTTAACAAATAGATTTAGCCAAATATTTTCTTAATGAATTTCTCACTATTATTCCATTGTGTGTGTTTTACTATGCTTTACATCAAATTTCAATGAATATGAATTTGATTATGGGCTTTGTAGGGATTAACTAATTGTTATCAGGACATTAGAGGAAGATTTGTGTCTTAGATTGAATGTTGTCAGTAATATTCAATATTGTAGGGTGGGAGCGAGCAAAGTCAGTCACCCTGGGGGCAGACATGAATGCACTTCAATTTTTCTCTTGGCTCTGTCCTATTAGATCCGTTAATGATTATTGATAATACATGTTGGTCCTAAAATTTGAATTAGCGTGTGAAAACATTTATTCGATACGTACAAACAATGAAAACATTTCCTTTTATTACATTACAAAATGTTGTAAAATAGGCAAAAAATATTACTACACCATGTACCTGTGAGAAGGCAGCAGATCTACTACAGAACCCTTCAATAATTTTTCATAAGCTTTCTATACACAAAATGTTGCCTTTTACTACTTAGGGTTTTTTGACATTTTTTTTTCTACTGTATTAATGTATAAAATGAGACTTAGTGGTGTCGTTTTCTACTTTTTTTACTCTTCCAAACTACAATGTTGTACAAGTTGAATCTCTAATGGGAATATCGGTCCAGAAATGGTTCAGTACCTTTCAGTATTTACAAAGATATGATGAATTGAACATTTTGTAACATACAGCATGATATGTTCAAACGGATACAAACCAAAACGGTAAAAAATGTGCTCAAAATTTGTCTAATATATAATATATATATATTAATTTATATATCACTGGATTCTTGATAACAAGTAATTTAATTGATTGTTTTGATTTTTTATAGCCGTTATGACCAATCTTTGGTTGTTTTGAATATGTTCATCTAAACAAAATTTTGAGAGGGATTTGGTTTATGGTCGTTTCATCAATAAACCTTAGAAGCAAGCTATTGATTTTTAATCTGATTAAATCCATGCTGGGAGATTATTTTCCATTTATATTTTGATTTTCTTTTCTTAGCTGAATGTTAAATAAGCAATATGAGTACATTTGAACATGAATTAAGCCATGGAAAACTTAATATTTTCCAAAAAATACAAATGACGCCTACAATATATTGAAAGAACTTAAACCATCGTAGGGTGATTAAGTGTACTAGGACTCTTTTGTGGCAAAATTACCGAAATAAAAATAATATACTTGCTCTGAATAAATGTATAATGTTAATTATCCCAAATTTAAAGGATCTAAATCGCTAATATTTTGGACCTAGAAATTTACACAAATGGGTCGCAACGCATATAATAATGTAATATGAATGTATATAAACTGATTTACAGTCAATCGTTTCTGTTTTTACTGTAATTTCTAATCAGTTATGTTCGATGAAATACGCCAGAAGTCTCAGTTGAAAATAGCAATCTCTAGTGTCTGGTTATTCCAGTCTACACAGATAGTATTTATTACGCATGCTCTCCAGATAAGAACATGGCGTCACCGTTTGACATGACTTGTGGAATATGTCGTTGTTACTTACAAATGGTGCTGTAAACGCATTATGGTACACGTACCAATGTTAAAAAATGTTTATTTTGTCTTTTAAAAATATTGGATATCAGAAGCTCATCTTTTCCCGGTAAGATCACAACATCAGTGTTGTTTTGAATTGACAAATAATTCGCGTTTTCAATGTCGAAGACTTTGGATGTTATTGAGTTAGAGACTGAAATGGGCTACATCCTTCCATCCTGGTTTTGTTTCTGGAGTATATCGAACCAGATATCTTTATGAAACTTTATAGACACATCAACTGATTACAGTAGTTGTGCCTTTTGCTGATTATAGATTTCTGATTATATTAATTTTTGTGTTTCCATGGATACAAATTGGACTTTGTTTTTTTTTTATGTAAGAGTGTGCAATATTGATGACTATTGATGTATTGTTTTAAAAATGTATTTTCTTGTATTTTACAGCCGTCACATTCTAACACTAAGAACAATGTTTATGTACCACCACCACCCTTAGTTGTTCGTGTTGAAACCAGTTTTAAACCAGTAAAATCACCATCCACCCTTACCTTGTCTGTCAAAAATTATGATGGCACTGAAACTCAAGAAACTATATCTCAGGAAGAACTTAATAACAGTGAAGCATTTAGCACCACCACTGCCACAACTAGCGGAGAAGAAGACTTAAATAAAAATATCCACAGACGAGGTACTTATCTTTCTATCTAATAAATTGTTATTGACTGAATTTTTAAGAGTTCTAATTAATAAATGATTAAGGTTGTTAGTATTTCTTGATTGATATAAAAGATAATTTTAGTGGCGTCTTTAGATTTCTCTTTTTATCAGACGTCATCACATCTTTATGTGTAATAATCCCAGCAAGGTCGAACAAAATTTCTAGAACCCCGATTTGAAGTTTGGTGACAGGGGCAATAACCCTTTGAATAATTGTTGTGTGACTGAATTTTAGTGATCTGTAAAGCAAAGTTTTGAAAGGAATGGACAGACAGATAGACAAGGGTGACGATAATAAACATCAATGTAATATGTGGCCTATAAAGTCAGTATATTATGACTCTGTCAGCTTAGTAATAGCTTTCTCTTAAGGGCATTGAGTAGTCTAAGATACACACTAACTTTTCAGCACCAATCTTGTTAAGACTTTGCATACTTGTTTCATGTGTAAAATAACCCAGAGGACACATAGTGGAATAAAGAAAAAAATATTTATAGCAAATGAGAAGGTTTCCTCAATCAGTTTTTGAATAAATTACGATGTTGTACACATCGGTGACATGATCTGCAATAAATAGTCATGGCTGTCTCCAGCAACAGTTTCACACTGGACCATTGACAGCTATCTATATATAAGGAATTCCCTCTAAGACACGATTTTCCAGGTCTACCATCTATCACAACTGGAACATTGCTGAATTTCTTTTTATGATGGTCGCAGACTACCATTTTTTAATGTATAAAATGATTTTGAGTAGTGCACTGAAGTCAATATTTATTTTTTACATCGGAATTGTTGTATTTTAAAACTTTTGGACGTATTCAAAGAATTTACCGAAAAACACAAAATCTTATTTGAAGGTAAATAATCAACAAAGATTTTAAAATACTTTGAGTTGATATTAAATAACATTTTTGGTGTCAAAATGTCACTTTTAACCTCTACTTTCAATCTAAGGGAGGGATTATCGATATCTCTTTTTGGCATGTACCAATAGAATTTCCATGAAAACAGCCTATAGCCAAAAAATGTCCTTTGGGTTTCTTAGACTTGTAATTAGCATTGTTCATGCCACATTTGATGGAAATCCATGCAGGCATGACTGAGAAAAATAGACGATTGTTGTCATCAGCATCCTTTATCATCATGCTTTTGGAACAAGTTTGGAACATAGAAAATAAAATTGGTATTTTTTTGATGATTAATAATATTAATATGTAGGTTATCACCCCAAATAACAAAAATTGTCATATCTTATGAACAAAACTTACAGTGCAAGCTTTAAAGTGTGCATTTAAGACTGCTCAACACCCTTAATACTTCAACATTAAAGGAATAGACTGACCACCCACAATGTCTGTATGGAAAGGTCAGGCAAACAATTCCATTTATAGATCTGTTTATTATATCTCATACAATAAATCTAATTTTATAAGTATATCTTGAAAAAAATATGATTTTTTAAAAATCTAAATAAATGATTTAGATAAATGTAGTATATAAAAGGTATTGCCAAATTTGGTGACATTGGGATATTTCATTATTTCATTATTTATTTATTATCCCTTGACAAACGAAGTTAGGGAGGGATAATGAAATGGGCTCCATCCGAGAGTCCGCCTGTACATCCGTCCCGATTTCATTTCCGGAGCATATCTCATAAACCGTTTAAGATATCTTTATGAAACTTCGTGCACACATCAACCTATTACAGTAGTTGTGCCTTTTGCTAATTAGGAATTTCTGGGATATATATTTATTGTGTTTCAATGGAAACAAATTTTACTTAGTTTTTTGGTGTACAATTTTGTTTCCGGAGCATATCTCATAAACCATTCAAAACGTCTTCATGAAACTTTGTACAAATATAAACTTACTATAGTAGTTGTGCCTTTTGCTATTTAGGAATTTCTTGGATTTGTATTTTTTTGTGTTTCCATGGAAACAAATTTGACTTAGTTTTTGGTGTACAATATTGTTTCTGGAGCTTATCTCATAAACTGTTCAAGATATCTTTCTGAAACTTTGTACAAACATCAACCTGTGATAGTAGTTGTGCCTTTTGCTAATTATAAATTTCTCGGATTTAATAATTTTTGTGTGATACCTTTGTAACACTTCTACATTCATCAACCTTTTATTTTCTATTCTGATGACCGTCCTTCTGTCCCGATTTTGTTTCCGGATCATTATCCGTTCAAGAAATCCTTTTGAAACTTTATAAAAACATCAACCTATTATAGTATTTCATTTTCTGATGTATAAGCTTATTGTTTAGCATACAGTAGCTGATTGAGGTAGGCAAAGGTTGTTGTGCAAACCTTACAGCGAGTAGCGAACCTGCTGTGATCAGAGTATTGATATTCCAAGAATTTGTTTTCCTTCTGCCTTCCAAACAAGTGCACGGGATGGTGATGACTATTCATCTTGGTGTTTTTTTTTATTTATTTATTTTTCCAAGAGGCATATCAAACATTGCTTGTGGACACATTAAAGGCTAAAGTTAATGTCCGATTGACTTTAATTATATACACAGTGTTTAAGGTCATGGGACGAAGAATCCTATTGATTTTCACCGATTTCCGATTATTATGGCCCTTGATCACTTTGAAAAATCCTGTGGACGCTCTAGCGGCTAAAGTTAAAGATACATTATGGGAGATTAGATAAAGAGCTGGCAGTTCTCACTATAATAGTTAAAAACTAGATAATGTAAAGGAAATTTGCTGAAAATTTCAGTCAAATTGATCCACTCTGAACCGAAATTTTAGCGATTGAATTTTCGACCTAGCCTCGATCATTATTACTAAAGTCGGTATGATAAAAAACATAGTCTTGATTATCCATTTCATGATTAAATCATGAATGGAAGTCGAACAGAAAATAGGAATCTAATTCAATAAACATCGCAGGCTAGTGGTGACATCGTGAGTTGATTATGGTCTGGATAAGTTAATAGTTCAAAAATAGATAATGAAAATTGAATATGATGTTATCAGGCTTTGAAGTTTTCATAATATAGTCTTGATTGTCAAGTACCATTGTTACGATAAATGAAAGGAGTCTTGATTACTGGTATCTAATTTTAAATTCAATAAGTAAAATTATAAAATAGCGATCGGGTTTCAATCCATTGAAAAATGCGACCATTGATTATGGGCTTGTTATGTGAATAATGTCTAATTAATAATTTAGATAACATTTCAGGCCTAAAAAAGACCCGCAATAGGCAGATTTAGCTCTTGCATAATGTATGTTTAATATCTGATTGACTTTAAATTTATACACAGTGTTTAAGGTCATGAGACAAAGAATCCTATTAATTTTCCAATAAGTACTACCAGATTTATGGCTTTTGATCACTTTGAAATATCTTGTGGACGCTGTAGAGACTAAAGTTAATATAAATTGTTTAAGGTCACGAGACAAAAAATCGAAACAAATTCTGATATTTTTTCATAATTACTTCATACGTTATTACTTGTAATCAGATTTTCATGTGTTGTAAATGTTCTCATTACTGACAAAATAAAACTTAGCTGCTGTGGGTTTATATTTCGTTGACTTGAAAGTTTGGAAACCCATCTTTACATTTTGGTACAACATAATTATAAATGCTTGATCTAGTACAATGTAGATGAGCATCCCTGAGAAGCGAAAATTGGTTTTCATGTACTCCGGAGACATATTATGAAAGATTTTTTGAACATGGTTCAATTTCAGTTGTTTGACTCTATTTTCAAGTTTTAAACTATTTAGATCTTGATACAAATTTGGGGTAATTGGATCTCTGGGACCTTAGCGGTGTATGAATCGGATAACTTTGTTTTGAATAATTTGCAGTATGTTTTTCAGATTCTTGTTTAAGCCTGAAACCATGCTGAGCATGCATAATCTAAGTGGCATTATATAAGAGTATTGGTTAATAATATCCTAATATACTCTGTTAAAGACTTGTTATATCTAAATAAAAATTCCAATCTGGTATTGACCTTTTTAATATTATTAACTATTAATTCACCAGAGAGATAACAATCAATATATGGACCCAGATATTTTTTACTGTAATTGCTTGAATGATCATTACACAATATTTAAAAACTACTACTAGTACTAGTTTTTTACTGGGACCAAATAACATATATTCTGTTTTACCAAAATGAAAGGATAATTTATTGTCTACTAACCAATCTGAACAAGCCTTTAAGACTTTAAGGCTTCACTTTTGGTTTCAAAAGAATTCATGTAAACTTGACATCAAATTTGCCAGCTGCTGTGGGTGTATGTTTTGCTGTCTGACAACATCTTATATTTTTTATACGCCCACATTTTCATGTGGACGTATATTGTCGTCGCCCCTGTCCGTCCGTCCGCCCGGACGTTCGTCCACAATTGTTTGTGAACAGTCTACAGGTCACAATTTTTATCTGATTTCAATGAAACTTGAAATATAGGTTTATCACCCTAAGATCTCGGTTCCTTTCGATATTGGCATCTATCGGACCATAACTTCATATTTGATGGCCCCTGATTGTACGAAAAATCACGTTTTTGGCTTGTGAACACTGTAGAGGTCACAATTTTTATCCGATTTTGTTGAAACTTGAAATGTAAGTTTATAACCCAAAGATCTCGGTTCCTTTCGATATTCGCGCATATCGGACCGTAACTTCCTGAATTATGGCCCCTGATTGTACGAAAAAACACATTTTTTGGCTTGTGGACCCTATAGAGGTAATAATTTTTATCCGATTTAAAAAAACGTGTTAATATATAACCATTACACCCTAAGGACGGCTGAGTTTGAATTTTGTGAAAATCAGCCCAAAACTGACAGACAAAATGGCCGCCCTTCTTCTCAAATAGCGTAAAAATATGGTATATCAAGGTTGTGGACCCTATAGAGGTCACAATTTTTATCCGATTTTGTTGAAACTTGAAATGTAAGTTTATAACACAAAGATTACTGAATTATGGCCCTTGATTGTACGAAAAATCACGTTTTTAGCTTGTGGACCCTATAGAGGTCATAATTTTTATCCGATTTACAAAAACGTATTATTATATCACCGTTACACCCTAAGGACGACTGAGTTCGAATTTTGTGTAAATCGGCCCAAAATTGACAGACAAAATGGCTGCAGTTCGTTCTAAAATAGTGTAAAAAATATGGTATATCAAGGTTGTGGACCCTATAGAGGTCACAATTTTTATCCGATTTTGTTGAAACTTGAAATGTAAGTTTATAACTCAAAGATCTTGGTTCCTTTCGATATTTGCGCATATCGAATTGTAATTTCCTGAATTATGGCCCTTGATTGTAGGAAAAATCACTTTCGTTTTAGCTTGTTTTCTATCCATCTCTCGAAAATGTGGGCATATCCTGCCTGGCAGCCGCTGGTTTTTTATAGAAAAATGCATGGCTAGAACTCTATTGTTTGAAATGTAGTGATGATAGTGTTGTGTTGAGCCCAGACTGGTATTTCTATATCCTGTATTTAAATGTAATATTGTATTTATGGTTTAGAGCGTCGACCCAGTTCCTGTTCATCAGTAAGTTCTGTATCTAGTATATCACCTACGTCATCAACACCATCAACATTACCTAACTCACCTGATGAACCTGATCTTAGATTACCAGAAGTACATTTTGCGGATGATGGCGCTCATTGGTTTCGTTCTTCCGCTGTTATACTCAGGTTTCACAGGTTAGTCTTCTTCCTTAACAAGTTTTCATTTTGCTGATGTTTAATTTGCATACTTTAAAATTTAAGTTATCACCAGTCAAATTTATTTAATATTCATATTTGTTCTCAAACTCAAACAGAAATAAAGTATGGACTAGTTACCTGTAAAACCAGCATAAGGATCTTTAAAATAATTGTTATCAACAGTGAATGAATGAATAAATGAAATGGGGTTTAACGTCTAAATTTTCTGCTTCAACTGGGCTAATGAAGATGGGCATATGACATACAGTGTACTATGAGGGAAATTTTACCTGAACAGCAATTTAATTCCAAAATCTTCTGTTACGTGCATGCAAGACCTCAGTTTTTGTACCATCCGAATAACTAGATGCTGTTCTTGCCAGGCCCTTGCACATTTGACGAGGCGGACTAGATGCTGTCCTTGCAAGGCCCTTGCACCACTGACAACAGGGAACCGAGCCTGCACGCCAGAGTTCCTGGTGTTTATCCAAAAGTGATAAATCAGATGATAGTATATTGAATATTGTTGATAGCATAAAATTATCTAGTAAATGGAGTATTAAAATTATAAATAATGAACAGCATTTAATAATGCATTCTTGGAGGATCTGAAAACCAACACAGTGTGTTGCTCATTTGAGTTATTACATTTTGTATAAATGAACATTGTCAACAAATGACATATACTACAAACATAGCAAATAAGATACACAAAGTTTTAGAAAGTTTGATCATGCAGCTGAACTATCAGCATTATAAAATGCAAATACAGGCAAAATTAGTGAGGAAGATTTCATTTAACAAGCTAGAAGAATACTAGTACTAAACGAATGTATAGTTTTATGGTGTTATTCATCCAACTGAACCACCAGCACAATTGAAATTCAATCTATGCCAAACCCCCTTTCAGTTCACATGAATTTCCTGCTGCATTTATTTCTTGTCTTGCAGTAAATATTTTCAGTAGTTTGAAACTGATAGATGATAGTGAAACGCTATTGTTGTCTGTAATAAAAAATATATTTTATATTTTAGATGGTTCAATAAACCTGATGTAAATAACCCTAAAAAGCATCCTGTCTTGTCTGGGTAAGTTGACCTACCAAACTTTCAAATTGTTTACTAAATCTGGGGGATATTTCTTCAAAATAGTAATAGTAATAATGAAAAGTATTACAAATAAACTCATTGAGCGTGATTTGAGCGATATAGGAATCCTTGCAAACTACGATAGTGTAAAAGGTGAATTTCTAATAAGAATATCAGTTCAAAAATTGGTTTTAATTCTGTTCAGTATTTACTAAAATATGATGAAGCTAATTCTATTTATCTATGCTGTCCTTTATGTAAATGGTTCACTTTACTTGTTCTATTTTCTCGCTTCTTTTTCTAGACAGAATCTGTTGACAAAATAGGTCTATATCACTTCCAGGTGAACTTTCTGCCATTTTGCAAATGGCCAATTGCCCATTTCAAGTTTATTGTCTGATGATGTCTTCATCTTCACATGTTTGCGAAGTCTAATTTATGGGCCTGTTTTTATTCTGATTGAATCCAAGCCAGCGGATCATCTAGCATATTTTGATATTTTTTTCATTACTAAATGTTAAATAATCAATTCATGCACTGTTACTTTAAGCCCAAAACAAAATACCTGTATTTATGGTTCCCAACAGAATGTGGCTTATAGCTTTGTGATTTGTAACTGGTCAGCTTAAATTTCTGGATTAACCTATCTGAGGACATGTGCCATCTATTATTTTCTGAGCAAATTTGGAGTTTCAGACAGATATATGTGTCGGTAATTAATTATAATTCTTGACCGTAGCTGTCAGGACAATTAAGCTGGTTTCGCTCATAGTACATGTGAACACTATACTCTCCTAGCATAAAAGGCCAGCATTTTGAAACTAGCTGCAGTCTAATGGCATATAATACCCATCATATCTTTAAAGAACTAATACTGTTACCATAGTAATAGCATATTTATGAAAAAAAAGAATGGATGAAAAATATGAGATTGATAGCTTGGGGACTTCACAATCACAAATTTATCAGCTGAGGAAGAGCAAGAATTTCCGTAAATTAATTGATTTTGACAAGCAGAGTGAGAATTGTAAGGCTGTTTTTATCATCATAAACTTATTTAGTTTGGTATTTTTTGTTCTATAATATGGCATCTATTGTATCATATTAACTAATAAAATCAATATCTATTTGTTCCAGATGTCGAATCAAATCACCATGTGGCTTGCGAATCATTGAAATTCGTAGTGACCCCGAAGGCCTTGTCTTGCAGCATTGGGAATTTTTGCATGAAATGACACCTTCTGAATTTACTTTGAAGAAATCACGGATTAGAACCATTCCGGAAGGTGCTAAAACGATCTCCATCCTGGCTCAAGATCGCTACGGCAATATTTTGAAGAAACGGTTCAAAGTGATGAACTTGGAGTGATAATTAATTTTAAAAACTGTTTGTTACACATGATGTGTCGTTGTTTAGATTTTTAATTTAACATCTTAGAGGTTATTTGTTGATTTGTTGATTAAAAAGGAGAGTTTATGAACTTCTTTTCCTGTGAGGGGTAAATTTTTACGAATGTTAATGTGAATATATTATTGTTTATGTAGATACTACTGATGTATATGTTGAATTAACCTTCAAAGGAAATGCAACTTAGATTATTTATATGGCAGTTATTTCTAAAAAGAAAAAGATATATTTTCTGTTATTTTTACATAATGGCTTTTATAAGTACTTTCTACTTTGAATAAGAAATTCAAATATTGTGCCAGTCCCTTTTTTAAAAAGATGATTACATTATTGATAAAACATAAAACTTCGGTCAATATTGTTTTTTATGGAATGAAAATGTTTACGCAGAATAAATAAGAGTGGGAATAGGAAAAGTAACTTTAATAAGAGATGTAATTTTCTTCAAGACATTTTTGCTTAACACAGGAAAACATTTTTAAAATTATGATACCCGGTAAATAAATCTGACTAAGAAATTTTTTTTAAATGCAAGATGCCCAATACTCTTACATTTTTGCCTACGAATTTACATCATGTACAGTACATCTGGGAGCATAAAGGAAATTCAATGAATAACATTGTTTGGTATATGATTTTGGACTTGTCAGTTAATAAAAATGTATTTATTTATTGGGTCTTTGAGGTGATTTATGCGCTAATAAAAATGTATTTATTTATTGGGACTTTGAGGTGATTTATGCGCAAGTAATTTTCAATTTCATCTAACGAACATTCTCATTACAAATTTTTATAGCACATGAATAAAATGGAAATTTTGCACGGAAATACTCTTCTAGGATACCTTGGGGTGTTTCAGGGGTGTTTCTCCCGTGAAATAGTGCATCAAAATTCTTCTCTGAGCTTTAACAAAATATTATTTTACTATCTCTATACCTCTTTGGAATATTTGTAATTTTAAAAAAAGAAAATGCAGCATTCTTTTCTCACTTCAAATTTTCTATCTAAATTTATTTTAATTAACAACACAATTCTAACCCTTAAACTAGTAATGCTTATGTTAATATGCTTACATCAAAGCATGTAACTTCTTACTTACAGGTAGCAAATTGTCTATTTATACATGTTAAAATGAATGCTAAATTATATGACTTCTTTCCTAAATATTGTAGTTTGAGTTTTTATTTCCTTTATTATTACTTTTAATTAACTGTCATATTTTTTATGTTAAAACAGATGTTACAAGATATGGTGAAAAAGACAAATTATTATTTTAAGAGTGAGGGTATGTCATGAATTCAACTCCATATAATTAAAGAAACACCATAGATGTATATATTATATTATTTGTTATTTGGCATGTTGTGAATTTTAAATTGAATTATTTATATTCAGGGATATATACTATTAACTTAAGGATGTAATAGAATTGTTATATATTTATTTCTCCATTTTTGTATTTCTAATTTAATTAATATATATTTTTTTTAGCCAAAGAGTTTGTAATTTAGCTTTATATAAACTGTTTAGTGAAGTATCTTTTTATACCTTATGATTATGAATGATCTTTTTGCTACAGATTGGTTGAATGTTAGTGCATAGGTTTTGTATTTCCATATTTTTCTATTAGTTTTCTATAATAAATGAAAGTGTTGTTCATGTGAAAAATACCATAGCATAGGTGATTTGTAACTCATTTACTAGACGATAAAAAAAAACAATTGGTGTTTAAGAAAGTAATTATTAAAACATCAATGTTACTTTTCTAATATAGATTTTCGTAGTTTTATGAATTTTTTAAAAAAAACAACAACTTATAATGAAGAAAGTCTTAATGTCACGGCCTACTAACCTTGCCAAATAAAAGTTTTATGGACGTTCACTCTAAACATCCAGCTGTCTCGTACATTTTCACTAAAATTTTAACTTCCATGAGAAAAATAATATTCTTTTAATAAAAGCAAGTTTTTAAGATGTCAAAGGGACAATGAATAATGAATATTTTTTGTATTTTGTATGTTAATTGCTCAAATAAATGATCTTCATCCTCGTTATTATAGATTATATGATAGAAATAATATTATATATTATATTCTTGAATCTGTAACAAATTATTTGAATCATGTAATCAGATATTTTAGTAGATAACTAAACTACAAAAAAACATTACGACTCATAAAAACTGAATCTGAATTATATGTATTTATTTATCAATTATTATTTTCAGCAAAACAAATTTATTATTTTTTTGTGCATTATATGTATTAAGGAGCATATTGCCAATATTGGTACCATTAAAAACCCAGACATCCTTATGGTTGCGATAAATAGTTGTTTATCTAACAAATAAATAACAACAGACAATAGGCCAGAATGTGTATTACTGTCAGACATGTTTTTTTTTTCTGTGTTATCTGCACATGCACATAAAATACCCAAGTCATGCCCCAAGTGCAGCTAAAAATAGTTCTGGTTTATCACACAGCTAATTTTAAAATTCGTTAAAATTTGATGGCAATGAAACTGTACCAAAAAGATGAAATTATATCAAAAGTTTAATGTTCCTTTAAATATATTATCTGTATTATTTATTAAATGTCATCCATTATTACCTGGTGGATGTTTGTGTATCTCTCTTTTCATGTTATAAATGGCCATTAAAATCATTTCATTCCAGTTTTGATAAATTTGTCTCATTAATTATTAATGTCACTGTTTCGTGCAATGAATTTTTCATTATAGAATTATATTTAAACACAACAACTGGTATTATTATATGAAGTCTATTTTAAAAAATGTAATACTCTGTAATTTGTTGTTTTATTACATTCATTATAATTATACATCTTAGGCTCCACTTATGATATTAATTATATATGATATTGATGGTAAAATGTTCTTGTATTAATATATTTTAATCAAATATTACTTAAAATTATATGCATTTACTTTTTTTTTTAAAGCATGTGGTCTAAGGGGAGATAATGTCTTCATGAAGCGAGATGTTCAATTATCTCCCTTTAGTCAATTATAACCACAGGGTAACATTTAATGTTACAATATTGATAATCTCAAGATATTTGTATGATTAAAGAAATATGTGTTGTGATGAATACTGTATCTTTGTAGAAGAAATTTAGCTTATTTTGCATATGTTGATATCAGTACATTATCTACCTTTTTAGTCCAATGTGACCTGCTACAAGAGAGGAAATACTCTTGTACCATTGCTCGAAGGGTTTTATAAATATGTGGCACTTCTGCATAGATGTAGTTCAATATATTTTAAATAGTGTAGTAGATAGTTCTGTGGTTGTGAAATATATTAACATTACTATTAAAGTAATTATTGTGAAGGCAGCACAAAACACCATAGTTCTATAACCTGTACATTTACGTTATAATAGGTAGAATATATTATTGATGGCATTGTTAAAAATATAATTAATATTGTATTATTAATGAATACTCTATCTCAAAAATTAAAGGAAACCTGTATTTAGGGATAATCAGTGATTATGGTAATATCTTGACTAGTTAAAAGAGGAGTACGAGTAGAACTGCCTTGTTTATCTGTAGTTTAATATATAGAAAATATATTCTAATAATGATCACCTTTAAAGATGCATTATGTAAGATTTAGATAAAGATAATGAAAAATGAATATGATGTTATCAGGCTTTGAAGAATAGTCTTGATTGTCAAGTACCATTGTTACGATAAATGAAACAAGTCTTGATTAATGATTACTGGTATCCAATTTTAAGTAAAATTATTAAATAGCGATCAAGTTTCAATCCATTGAAAAATGCGAAGAGAGTTGATTATGGGCTTGTCATGTGAATAATGTCTAATTGATAATTTATATCAATCTGCAATAGGCAGATTTAGCTCTACATAATGCATCTTTAACAATAACATTATTAATAGTCTGATCGCCAAATCCAGTATTTCGAGTGAACCTGGAAATTGTATACAAAGTTTATTTTATGATTGAGAGAGAGAGAGAAATGGGATTTAACGTCCACTTGACACAAACTTGGTCATTTCGGGACTAACATATGGTTTAATTTTATTTCAATGATTCGGTTGCGCGTAGGGGTCTTTAACAGTGGGAGGAAACTGGAGGACCTGGAGAAAACCCACGAGGTTGGACAGGCGACCCTACTCCTGGTCACGTATAACCGGGGAATCGAAACCACGCCAGTTGATGCAATGACAGACTTTATGGTACAGCGCGCACGTGCTAACCATTCAGCCATACAACCCCCCCCCTATTTTATGATTGATATTAGTAGCCCAGGGTGTCCTCTGTTAAAATCTGGCGGGTGAACCTCGGTCACCCTTGACCGAGGTTCACCCGGCAGATTCTGAAAGAGGACACCCTAGGCTACTAAAATCAATCATATAAAAAAAAAAATTTGTACACAATTTCCAGCATCAGCTATAGTTCTGCAGGACTATTAATTAATTAATGAAGTTTCCCAATGTTGTTATGAATTTTCAACACATGTGCAAAAAGTTGACAATCATGTTTTAGGCAGTGTTTGAGAGAATAAAATGTAAAACTCTAAACTTCAAAATGACAAATACCAACACAAATTATTTTGAATGTAAAACAAAAAGCAAGGTTTGGACACCATGAAACATCTTGAATATAAAAAAAGGAACTAAAACATGTATGTGGGAAGGAAAGTCAATATCTTGGAAACCATCAGAAATGTGTGATTTTTCTTCCTAATTCAAAGTCAAATAACTAGAATATAATTGTATCAATCAATGATAAAGTGATCAAATTATTTGTAATTTCATGAAAAACAATGTTGAAATAAAATGTTATATATTGCATTCCTGTCTTGTATTTAGAACACAACTTACAAATGGTCACGGGTCAGAAACCTTTTCCATAACCTCTTTTTTTTGGCAATTCTGATGGATGGATGGATGATGAGACATGGGAGAGTCCCCAACATATAGCCCTGTTTTATTGTCGTCAAGTCTTTCAAATGTTCAAAGGTTTTTGAAAAATTTTACATTGATTCCCCCACTGTAACAGGCAAAATTATACATTAATTGAAAGCTTAATCAGTTCCAAAGATAAATCCTAGAACTTTCTACAGTTTGAACGTTGGAATTTGTGTTCAAAACAATAGCACCTATTTAGAAATATCAATAGCTGGGTCCGGTAAGTGTAGTGCTTAGCTCTCAACTTTCCATAAGTAGCAAACATGATGTCATACATTAAGAAAAGCTTTCAATCAACATTGAAACTAAGGTCACCTCAGAGATGGTTCTCAAATTGACAAAATAAGGCCCATGTCCACCACAATAGCCATCTAAAAAACTAGGGAAGAGAGTCGGACACCTCAGAATGGAAAGAAACCCCAAAAAGCTATTTGTTCTTGTATATAAAATTGCTGTATTAAATCCGTGACTGCAGTCACTGCATTGATGTCAAACTAATCCGCATCTTATGTGTGCCTTATGTCCAGTTAAATATAAAAGGACATATCTTGCTACAGTGTAATAGTAATTGCAGAATAAACTACGACAGACATAGGTGTCCATGTATCAAAATGATTTAGTTTAATTAAATAAGAAAAACAAACTATGAAAGAGATAGGACTTTTTAATTAATGGAAGCAGCAACACATGATGATTAAAGCAAAGGTCAAAAAAAGAAATGTCTGTTTATTGAGGTCATTTTGTGGTTTATATTTCCAGTTATACAATAAACTTATGTTATATATATCTTTTTGTAATTTTAATAGCAATGTAATGTCAATTATTTTATATTTTAAAAAAATCTCCAGATTGACACTGGTTAAAAAACTTAATTGACTGAAGAAAAGACGTGTATTAATTTATAAGCCCAAATTGACCACAATACACTAGATATTGGCACAATCTGATTAAAATCTAATATGAATTATGTTTCATTTTATTCTTGTTGACTATACATGTATATTCAGATCATGTTATCTTTTCAACAAATCAAATTGTCTGGTGGCAAAGTTCAAAATCCATGTAAATTTAATAGTGATACTGATGGGTTTTGGGTTATATTATGACTATTTGAAATTTATAAAAATCATTAGGGAAAAAAATGTAATTTAATCAAATTGGATATTTGAATTAATGAACTTATGAAGTTATATTTCATATAAATCAATGACAATGTGCCACAACCTCTACACTAAAGATTCAAGTTTGAATGAAAGAAATAAAGAAAGGAGAATACCAATCATAGATGACTGGAAGAAGATATTTGAGATTCAAGAAATATGATAAAAATACTATACAGGTCTAGATGACTAGAAATACTAAACTCAACATTTGAGCATAAACAAAACAAAATTCCTAACGTAACAAGGAGATGTACATTCAGAATATTGAACTCTATGACTTTAATTCAATCCAGAACCCCTCTCAAAAGCAAAAAATCTCCTCAATGCAGACTATTCTGCGAATGAAGAGTGGAAACCCTATGGAAGTCACATCAACATCATTCTCAAAACTAGCACTCCGTCAAATTTTGCCCCAAACATATGAGTGAAGTCAAAATATTCCAAGCAAGCAAGGTAACATTTTAGAAAGGGACTTGAAAAAACTTGTGCCCCAATTTAGACAACCATATTATTATTATTATTATTCCAGAAGCCCCAACCTATTTAATCCCCTGCCTAAATACAAGAGTATAATAAAAAGCGAATCTCACACACAAAGTGAAAATAAATGCCATTTTTTCAAAGAAAAAGTAAAAATAATATTGAACTGAGTAGGAGACAGAAAGCCTTGACCAATTAAAAACAAATATATTATTAGATTGTGTCATTAATGATACTAAATTATATCTGCAATTTTAATGTCCATCGTGTTTCAATAGAAAATACAATTCTATTTCATGTATTAACAAGATTAACCAGTAGGAAATATTTCTGATAATACGAATCTATAATTCATTAGAATAATGACCTCAAATTTTGAAACTGGCAGTAGCACTTAAGGGTTGGTATTGAAAATCAGTTTCATTTTGTAGAAGTCACAAACACTTACACATAGGCATTGCACTTAAATAAAATCATGGATAGTTTTGATCTTTAAAGTGTTAAACACAAATTACTGGTAATGATATCACCTGCTGGAAGCCTCAATATAAATAATACCAAAGCACACACTGATATAGTTTATAAAAGTCTTCTTCAAAGAAAGCACTACTTTGGATTTATTTTGTATCCATTTCGAAATGTTTATATATTGCTGTAACATAACACATAACAGCTTGCCAATCAGGTCTTTCCATAGCAACCATATCATTTATACACTGAAAGTAGAAGAACAAATATTTTCAAAAATTATATGCAATTATTAGAGAATTTGTTTTGTTTTATTACAGAATTTTTGCTTAACATGCAATACAATTATTTGTATGACTTAAGAGTGAACTCCTAAAAAGGCATTTTCCCTAATATCTGAAATGATAAACCCTATCACTGGCTATCAGCTTCATTAATATTGTTATGGTGTTATGCATATGAAATTTTGCTAGAGAATTGTTGCCTACATGTATATAACTGTTACCAGATTTAAACATGAGGCAGGGTATGCTTACTTAATGGAACAACTGATACCACTTGCCCTAAAGCCGGGATTAAAGCTACATTGTCTAATACATACATAATGAGTTTTATTTACTATACAAATAAATCTTACCAGCGTTTTTGGAATTCCTTCTTCTTCTCCAGCATTAAATGCTAAGGTAAAATTCTTTCTCTGTTAGAAACAACAAAAAGAAAAGGGTGAAATTAGATTTATTCAATATCTTTGAGTAAGTGAGGAACTGTCAATTTAGAACAGGAATGATAATATGTATCAAAGAGCTTACCTTGTCTTCAGCATCTAGATCATTATAAGGTATCTTATGTGGTAAATAATTATGTAATATAGCACAGAAAGCTAAACCATCATTCCAACTACTGCTAAAATTAGTTATATCCACACCCTGTCGAAATAAAAACACAATTAATATTCAATTCAGTACATTATACAATTACAATGCTAATGTCCAATATTATTATCAACTTAGGTCCAATAAATAGTCTTAAATTACGTCATCTTTCACATATTATTATTATCGTAGTTATAACAACCCTCTATTTACTTCCTGGATACTGTGTTCTATGAAATTTGTTTACTAGTGATAATGTATCAGAACTCAATCGTCATGGTTATTACAATCCCCTATTTACCTCATGGATACTGTGTTCTATGAAATTTGTTAACAGAGTGATAGTGTATCAATACTCGATCTATTCAGGTTGAATAAATATAATTTTTGTGAGAAATAGGTTGAAAGACTTCTGCCATTTTTGAAGGGAGATTTTTGTTTAGCTGAATTCTAAGAAATTTGCATGAAACATATCAATTGTCAGCTTTTTTAAAACTAACATACTCTTGCCCACTCATAAGAGATCCTGCCACTCAGCAGAATGTACTTGTTTTGTGTTGCCTTTTTAAGAGAATGGTCACAGAATACATTATAATCCCTAAGTCTAACCTTATAACTAAGCGTTTTTTGTTGACACCATTTAAGTAAAGCATTTCTCTTGGAACCACCCATCTGTTTAGCTAGATAGGACAATGGATCTTTACCACTTGTATCTTTTTTATCTGTATCAACACTAAAATTAAAACAAACAAAATATCATGAACAGGCAAAATGAATTGAAACATGTACATCAGAGAAAACAATTTCTTTCAATAGATCTGTAGAAACATTCATTGAAATTGAAAATGCTTCTTGAAGTTGAAGATCACAATTTTCATAATAAATTTACATTTTGACAAGATTTTGAGCAATATATTTTATCAAACACAATTAAAACAGGCATTTAAGTTTGACTATGCATTAAAATTGTTAAGAGTTAGATAAATATATTTTTAACGATAACTCTAAATAATATAAGGAGAATTCACATGTGATGCAATAATTTTTGTCTCTAAATGTCCATTTTAAACCAAGGATGCTTTGTTGTAATTTGGAGCAGCTACTCTGACAAATATAGGCTACAGTTGGCTTATTTAGTTTGTATTTTAGCATGATAATATTATCAGTATACTTACTTGCTGGTACCACTGTTACGTCGAGGTGTACTTCTATCTTGTCTATTCTGTAGTATGGAACTAATAGTAGGAGATACTTTACAATGTTCACTATCAGATCGTACAAAAGGTGGCATACTTTTAGGTTGGTCACTAGGCGATCGATGTAGATCCACAAATGAATGTCTTTGAGAAGGTTTATCATTAGCCTTTTTCAGGGCTGATTTCAAATGAGTTTCACATGGGGGACTTAAGGGACTATCTTTTGTTGGTGATGTAGGGGACTTGATATAATCCTGAATACTGAATAAACTGTCATTGGAGTCGGAGTTTCTCCGTGAACTACCGTGACTAGAATGAATAGAAGAACAACCACTCTTCACTTGGGTTTCAATAGAACGAATCAAACTTTTAACTGATAAACTTTGATTTTTAGGGTCAATTCGACGCACGTCTCGTAAAACCGAAAGTTCGCGATCGACTGAACACAATACTTTGCCTTTAAGTTCAGCATTAGTTAAAATAGATTTAGACATTTTTGATTCTGTAGAATATTTCTGTATTGTAGCTAGATCTAAATCAGCTCTTAATTTATCCACAATACTTTCTAAATGTCTTACTTTGTCCTTTAACATAGAGTTCTGATTCCTTAATTCTTCCATAGTTTCCTGTGTTTCAGATCTGAAGTCGTTGGCGATGACGACTGCGACTTGAAGGTCTTTCTGGAACTGTTTCCACTCTTCTTCATCAGTTGCATGAACATTTTTGGCTTCATGCAATTCATTAACAAGTGTATCATTTCTCTGTTTGACCTGACTCAGCTCTTTCTGAAGTTCCTGTATAGTGGTTCCATGATATTTTTCCTCATCTTGGTAACGGTTACAATCAATTTCTAATTGATCGATGTGATCTCGCAGAGCTTCAACTTCTTGTTGGAGATCATTTCGCCCTTTCTCCAAATTGGAGACTTTATATTCCAGGTCGCTCACTTGCATCTTGGAGTTATTTTTAACAACTTTCATCTCTTCTTCTTTAGTTTGGAGATGTTCTTTGAGTTTTTTAACTTCACACTCGCTGTGGGCTAAAGCATCTTGAACGTTTGCTAATTTCTCTTCAGCTTTGTCTTTTTCCTGTCGAGCATTGTCCATCAAAGTTTCAAGATCAGATTTATCGGTCGCTTTATGAAACTGTTCAAGTTCTGAGACTTTTGCCTTTTCATTTTCCAGAAGTGTTCTCAATCGTTTGATTTCGATTTGATCTGTGGACACTATTTCACGCATTTCGGCACCATGTTGTTCTAATAAATCTTTCTCCGATTTTATTCCAACAATTTTATCTTCCAGAAGTAAAGATTTGTCACGTAAAGCTTCGTTTACATCGTATACTTCCTTAAATTCATTTTCAACGGTGTGAAGTGTATTCGCATGTTCAGTTAATTTCATCATAAGTTCTTCTCGTTCCTCTTGTGCGCTTTTTAAGGAATCTATAAGAAGCTCTTCACGCTTAGATATGTCTGGTAAATTACCGCTGAGAAGTAGGGATTTTAGCTGTTCTACTTGTATACGTGTATTTTCTAGTTTTTCAGTTTGTGTACAGAGAGATTCAAGTAAAACAGCTTTTTCATCTGCTAGTCTTTCATTTTCTTCTGTTAACTCATTTACTGCATCTTGAAGATCTCCAAGTTCCTGAAGTGTAGCTTGCAATTCCTCTGTTGTGCTATAATTAGTTTCTTCCATAAGAATGATGCGTTCTGTTAGACATGCCACAGATATTTCACTAAGACCATCGCTTTGGCCACTTTTATTACTTTGTTTCTCCCAATTTGATTGGTCAAGAGACAAAATAGAAGGGTGGTCTGGAGTACCGCACAAATCAGCTAAGGAAAGTCCAGGTTCGGATGCAGAAACAGAAGCTGATCTTTCAATTGATTTCACACCAGAAGAAACAGGGGGTCCTTTAGCCCCATCAGTGGATAAACTGTCACAACTAGCGCTATTAGGAATATTACTATCAGGAGTAGCTTCCCCTGATTTATTGTTTTTACTAACATTCACACTCTTTTTTAACATCGAAATTTTTTCAGCATCAGTTATTTGTTCCACGGGTATACCCAACTCTTTAAGTCTATCTAACAAATTCTTGTTTTGATTGCGTAAAAAGTCCAATTCTTCTTTGGTGTCGATAGAAGGAATTTGATCTTTCAGTCTTTTATTTTCATATTTTAACTTCTCTATTTCGGCTTTTCGACCTTCGGCTTTCTGGATCAATTCCGATATTCTAGTCTCCTGAATTTTCTTATCTTTTTCAAAATTTGCCAGCAATTCAGCATTATAAGCCATTACGTCTGCTGGTGCTGACGTACGTTTTCTTGTGAGTTTATCTTTGCTGACATTTTGAGTACTTTGTGCACGCTTTATTGATAGGGATTTTTGACCATTATTTGTGGACTGTGTTTTAGATAAGGAACCACTAACACTACTGGCTGAACTAATACTGGTTTTATCTATAGATTGCGTACTGGAAGCTTTACGTATAGTAGAAGTTGTTGCTAATGAGGTTGGTTTATTTGGCTTGGCACGGACAGATCCAGAATTTTTCTCCTTTTCTTTTAAAGCTACATTTTCCTTATTTTTATCGACAGATTTGGTCGATTCTGAAGATTTGGCGCCACTCTTTGGTTTAGCACTGGGTTGCTCCATTACTGTAGATAATTTCTTCTTCTGGTGACTAGAGAGATTCTCATGACTTTTACTCAGGTAGGCCTTGCTAAGGGGACGGGACTTGGCCGAACCCTGGCTGCTCAAACCTGAGTGTTCTGACTTGGAATGTTTGACTCCCATTGTTGCAGACGTACTAGAAGCAGGCACACCTGGTTTGGCAACAGTTTGTCCTTTCTCCTGTTTCTTCATTGCGCTGGTCAAATAGGGTATCTGAAAAATACAAAGAAAAACTACATAAATATATTGTAAACAAACAATTTAACAAAATAGCTGAACAAGAAGTTCCAAAAAAATAAGGTCATTTTTAAGTCAATCTTTAACTGTATACGAATAACCAAAACAAGACCAGCTAACTATGGGTTAGAAACTGTTCGGATTTTACAACGACATACAAGCCTTCTCCAATGTCTCAGCCATAATGGTGTATAAAACAGCAGACTATTAGAGTGTTAAATACCCCCACTGTTGTTTATCCTACCCCCCTAACAAATTGTCACATAAAAGTGTCACATCAAGAAGGTTCAATGCACAGGTCAAAGTTGAGTGTCAATCAAATTTGCTCCAACTAGCTACCTATACATAGATAACTATGCCTATTAGTAAGTAATTATAAAGTCATGTTGTATGTGAAGTATAAGTTTGTGGTATTTTGAAGTAGACAAGAGAAATGATTGTTAAATGTCAGTGGTACATCCTCTATATATACAGTAGTATATATATGTCATGTTAATATAACACATTATCAGCATGCCCCCCCCCACCCCCTCTTTATGTCATATGTCATCACAATTATATCCTTGTTCTATGATAAAATGTTTTTTTATTTATTGCACAAATAAATTGTCTTGAAAGGTAATTTATGAAAACATTTTGAACCATTAGCTTATACTTTAAATTTTTTTTTACTAAATATTAGTTTCAAATAATACCGAATATCGTACCTCTATACCATTTAGATTTAAAACACCAAGTAGACAATCCAGTTACATTTACTTGATTGTAAAATCTAGTCAGATTATCAAGAAATTCAAACAGTAAAATTCTAGTCAGAATGCATTTGTCATTATTTACTGTCCATTTACCATACATATTGAGGTCAAAGTAAATTCTTGAATTATTTTCTGCCAACTTCCTTTTCCACCCTTTATTTGCAGAGTCTGTTATATATACGTTTACACCCCTCAATGTTCCCAAAATGCCTAACCATTTGATTAAGAAATAACAACCGGCCCCTAAGTCAAGCAGACGCACAATAAGCGGTTGGGTTTGCCAGTTGGTTTTACCTAATGCTTGCCCCATGGGTGTTTTTCAGGTAATCCATTATTTTTCTGGTAAGATTGCGCATCTATACTTTATACCAAAATTGCCATACTTTTATTGGAAATAATCACCCCATAAATACTTTCTTGAGAAATTATCTTTAAGCAGAGTAACAATTAAATATTAAGTTTAAAATATTCAAACCTATAGATAGCTAATTTTAAAACTTCATGACATAACATCTGCAATATTACGATAATGGCACAACTATGTAATTTGGGGATAAACGTATGGTAAATGTTCATTTTGTATGCTCTCAGGGAAGGACACTTGGTGACTGTGGGTTGTGGGGAAACCTGATATCTCCCCCACACAGTTAGACAGACTACCTTAGTAATAAATATTAAAAGCTATGAGTAGTAAGTTTTATAATCTTATAATGAGCTAGGTTACTGTATAATCTACTGTATTTTATGCTAATCTATGTATAAAATCACCGACATGTTTATCTCAACAATAAACTGATAGCCAGACAGAAGGACTAGACATGTCGTACATGTAGTTTAATGTATTACACTTGTCACATATTATTTATACTCATATTGAATATTTTTAAAACAACAAATCAGTATGGTTATTACTGTGTACTAGATGCAAGCTTACTTTTATTGTTCAAATGATATGATAGAAAGATACACCAAAGTTACTTTAATGGTTTAAATGATAAGATACACCAAGGTTACTTTCATGGTTCAAACCATAAGATACACCTTGTTTACTTTCATGGTTTCATTACTTTCACCGTTTAAATGATAAGAAGATACACCTTGTTTACTTTCATGGTTTGATTTCTTTCACCGTTTAAATGATAAGATACACCAAGCTTACTTTCATGGTTCAACCGTTAAGATACACCAAACTTACTTTCATGGTACAAATGGTAAGATACAGTACTCCACACTTACTTTCAATTAGCCTAATGCTATAAACATAAATCATTCATAGTCACTGTTAAAAGATAATCATGGGATTTTATATTACCATGTCTTTCCAATAAAAGTGTTACTTACATGGCACATACTCTACTATTGACCTCTGAAGTTTTATAAGACTCATAGATTGCAGATCAATTTGTCAGGTTTATCTTTTATATCTTATTCTTAAAGATACATTATGGGAGATTTTTATAGAGAATTGGCCATTCTTGCTATAACAGTTCAAAAGTAGATGATGAAAGAAGAATATATTGAAAATTTCAGTCAAATTACTTTATTTTGAACATAGTTATCATCGTTGTAATATTTGACTAGAAATGGTAGTGAAATGTGCCTTCACCTTGGCCGATCGTTTGATTGACAGGCGTTAACTCCACCTACATATCTCGATTATCAAGTAAAGTTTTCAATGGCATGCGGAAACGCTCTACAGCGGCCTCGCTAAGTACACTCTATCATTTAGCCTCGATCTAACTGACGTATTCTCATCAGGATGCGCCATATTCAAATTAATTAGTAAGTGAAATCCTATTTAAATCCGAGCTGTAGCCGAGCCATCCGTGGGTCTACAGAGTTGATTTTGGGCTTGTTGTTTAAATAAAGATCTAATTTATAATTTCTATAACATCTGAAGCCTAAATTAAGACTTGCAATAATCAGATTTTGCTCTTGTATAATGTATGTTTAATATAAGTATGAATTATGTAAGAGCGAAATCTTCCTATTGCACATCCTGTTTCTGGCTTCAAATGTTCTATAAATTATTCTTTAGTCCTATATTCACATGACAAGCCCATAATCAACTCCCTAGAACATCTGGTGGCGGAGATATTGAAAGGATTAGAACACTCATGTTATTTAATAATTTAACACTAAAATGGATAATCATCAAGAGAATCTTTTTGACTTGATAATCTTCAAGAGTATCTTGTCAAAACTTCAGATTCAAATATATTAATTTTTCATTATCTATTTTTATTAATATAACCTATTATAGAAACAACGGACAGCTCTTTATCAAACTCTAAAATTTCAATAACATTAAAGCACTTTGGAAAAAGAAACAACCAACAGATGTTTTTCTACATTAGTTACAGCCATCTTATGTGGTTAAGTTCTAAATATGAATTTGTTACAAACTTAACAAGTAATGTGGTCATTAGAACTATAAAAACTGTATTAAAAAATTATTATGCCAAAAATCACTACTGACTACAGATTCAATAATCTTTCTTGAATTCAAGTGTAATGGACCAACTTTGGAAATGAAATATTGATCATTTGTGAATAAATAATGGTGAAGTATTTATATTATAAAATATAAGATCAAATTGTTATAACTTATAGTAAACTTAGTAGTAGCTTTCTCACTAAAATAATCCATGGCCATAGGTGGCAAATGGAAAGATTACAAATTTTTTATCTTATACAGGAGCAAGTTTCTACCTCTCCGAGTTATCACTAGGGTACGGTGGAAAAAACACTAATAGTGGTTTAACATCTGCTTTCATATTAGTAATATAGCAGACATCGTTTGTACATCAGCAACGGTTTAAATATCTTGACACAATAAACTAGTAATTCACTAATAATGCTGAGGTCTTATACTGGTAATAACAATTCTCCATACTGATTGGCTTCACCACATAGCAAACCACCTTTAAAATTTATATTGAGGTTCCAGTGTATTCAAATCCAATACTTTTACCTCCTCTAACAGATCCATAAAGCCATCTACATCCTTTGACATTGACATGACTTGTCTGAGTTGAACCATATACAGTAAAATGTTTATATTTATTATAATAAAGTAGTAAATTAGATAGAAGATAGATCACCTTCCTAGTATTACATATCACTAGAGTATACGTAATCATTTATCAAAGGAAATGAGCAGTGTTGTCAATACACCAGTTCATACAAGTCATATCATATTTAATTTTCTCTCTATATAGTATAATCCATAAATTAGACCATAAATTATTAATTAAATTAGCCCTGAACAATTTTAAATTGAATCAAGGTTTTTCAAATTCAATTCACTTGAAACAGCAAAAAACACTGAATACAGGCTGTCCAGTCAGATTTTTTAAAATTGTTAAAAGGGCATTATGGGAGATAAGATAAAGAGTTGACAGTTCCCACTATAATTATAATAGTTAAAAAAAATAGGTACCTGGTAACGTAAATAGAATATGCTGAAAATTTCAGTCGGTACGATAAAAAACAAAGTCTCAATTATCCATTTTTACGTTCAATTATTTTTAAAAAAAAAGCATTCCAATCAGCTTAATATTGCAGGCTAGCGATGACATTGAGAGTTGATTATGCCGTATGGTCAGGGCAAGTTACTTAATGTCTCATTAATATTTTAGATAACATTTCAGGCCTAATAAAGCTAGACCTGCAATAGGCAGATTTAGTTCTTGCATAATGTATCTTTACTACTTTATTGAAATTCAAAATTCTATTAAGAAATAATATTCTGGGTGGTTACATGTACAATATTTCAGATTTAAAGGCAAATATAGACTTTCAGTCCATACAGATTATTAAGAATTATATTCAACAATTAATAAACAGAAGTTATAGTGGTTTTAAAAATTTACCCATCATTACATTTAGTTTCTATTGATTCTATGACATTGTTTTCTGTCTTAGAACATCAGTCAACTAGTAAAGAATTTATGAACATTGTTAGGTTATGACTCAATTATGAACATTTAATTCTAACCTATTTATTTATATAATTGTTAACATGTAAATTACAGTTCAATACAGTCCAGCCCTTGTTTTTAAACATAAATGAAGAAATTGAAATAAGCCTCATGAAAATCAAAACATTAAATTGCACAAAACCACAATTGTTACTATTATATTTTCCTGATTTCGATTTAGCAAATCTGTTTGTCAGGATTGGCGAATTCCTTCATATAACGGCCTGATGATGTATTT